CATCCATGATTACTACAACCAAATTAAGCAGATATGAGATGAGTTGGGTGACTTACATAATGTTACGGACCTTGCTGAAATAAAAAAAAGGCTGAAGATGAGCGAGTTTTTCAATCTCTTCTTGGATTGAATGACTCCTACTCTTCATTACGTACACAAATCCTTGCCCTTGATCCATTGCCTTCGATGCAAAAAGTATTTTCAACTCTCTTTCAGGAAGAACAACATCAACTTCTCCACCTCCGCATAGCATCACCGACCCCCAACACCGTTGCCATGGCTGCCCGCACTCCTGTCCAAAATCGGACACCCCTAAAATGCACAGAATGTGGAAAGAATGGGCACCGTCGTGAGCGACGCTGGCTCATCATCGGATATCCTCTGGGACGCGAACCCAAGAATCGTCAATCATCCATTCTTGGTCGCCCACCGGTAGCTGCTGTAGCACAAACCACCATTGCTTCTGTCTCAGATTCGCCCTCCATTCAGACTCTTCCGCTAGAGCTATACTAGAAACTACTGGAACTCCTCAAGCCAACCCCAACCCATGCCAATTTCGTCGGTAACTCCTTCTCCACCACACATACTGTCGCTAGCCCCCACGATTGGATCATTGACAGTGGTGCTAGCAATCACATGTGCCACCGTCGATCTTCCTTCATAACTCTCTAGCCTCACTCTTTGGCTAACTCTATATCTTTGCCAAATGGTGAATCATCAAGAGTCGAAGGGAGTGGCTCTATTCAATTGTCCCCTACCCTATTTTTACATAATGTCCTTTATGTTCCTAATTTTAAATATAACCTGTTTTCCATCCCAAGACTTACCATGTGTAGTTCTTTTTTCTTTTGATTCTTGTGTTTTTCAGAACCCAGAGTCGAAGAGGCTGATTGGAGCGGGCAAGGCTTGCAATGGGCTCTATATTTTTGGGGTACTTAACCCTCTTGCCCTTACTGTTTCCACTTCTGCTAATAAAACATTATGGCATAAACGCCTAGGTCATCCTTCACGCTTTACAATACTGAGTATTATTGACACTCCATGTATCATTTCTCAATGTGATATTTGTAGTCGTTCAAAGCATACTCAGCTACCTTTTCCAAACAATCTCAATAAAAGTGAATTTATTTTTCATCGAATTTACTGTGATATTTGGGATGGCTACCTGACTGCTTCTCTCTATGGCGCACACTATTTCCTTACAATCGTTGATGATTTTCCATGCACCACCTGGATATATCTAATGCGATTTAAATCAGAAACAACTATTAATCTCCTTCTTTTTTTGCTCTCATTAAAAATCAATTTAACACTACCATTAAACACATTCGCACGGACAATGGCCAAGAATTTCTCTCCTATTCCCTACAAAACTACTTTCGCGACCACGACATTATTCATGAACATACTTGCGTTGAAACTCCATAACAAAATGGTGTTGCAGAACGTAAACAACGACACCGTCTGAATGTTGCTCGTAGCCTACGCTTCTAAGCTAACCTCCCTCTCAAATTCTGGGGAGAATGTATCCTTATAGCTGCTTATCTCATCAATCGCACACCTAGTCGCAACCTTGACGACAAAACACCTTTCGAACTCCTCTTCAATTAAAAACCCATCCTATGATCACCTTCGTGTCTTCAGCTACCTCTGTTATGCTCAAACTCTCACCAACCATTGAGATAAATTATCTCCCCGAGCCTCTAAATGCCTTTTCCTTTGGTACCCTAGCACTCACAAAGCCTATAAGCTTTATAACCTTGACACACATTCTATTTTTTTATTCTCGTGACATCACTTTTCATGAGAATGATTTTCCTTATCACCATCGCTCCTCAGCCCCCGATCGTCATGACCCTATTATACCCCTCCCTGTTCTTGAGCTCTCCAACCCTACCCCTAATCCTGCATCACCTCATTCCACCTTGAATCATAGCCCTACTCCGCTTCCTTCCCCCCCTTGTCGTTCTACTCACACCACCACTCGTCCATCTTACTTGCTTGATTGCATTTGCCCGACTCTTCCACCTAGGTCCACTGAATCTTCATCTGCTGCACAGTCCTCTGGTGCTGCTCATCCTCTATCATCTTTTCTTTCATACTCTTGCTTTTCATCTACTCACCGTTCTTTTCTAGCTGCTCTTAATACTACTGCAGACCCTACTTGCTACACCGATGCCAAGAAACACTCTCACTGGCGTAAGGCTATGAATTCTGAACTTCAAGCACTTGAAGAAAATTGCACTTGGACACTCGAGCCACTTCCTTCGGCAAGAAACCTATTGGTTGTAAATGGGTGTTCAAGACCAAATTCAAAGCGGATGGTTCAATTGAGCGCTACAAGGCCCGATTAGTGGCCAAGGGCTACACCCAAATGGAAGGACTTGACTACCACGAGACATTTGCCCCCGTTGCCAAGATGACCACTGTCCGCTGTCTTATTTCCGTTGCTGCCTCTCGACAATGGATAATTCATCAAATGGATGTTCACAATGCTTTTCTTCATGATGACCTTGATGAGGAAGTTTACATGACTCTTCCACCTGGATATTGTACTAAAGGTGAGACCCGAGTCTGTCGCCTCCGAAAAGCTCTCTACGGACTCAAACAAGCCTCCCAAAATTGGTTCTTCAAACTAACAACTGTGTTAATTGATGCAGGTTTCACACAATCTTCGATGGACCATTCTCTTTTGACATTAGTTACTTCCACTGGCATTATTGTGATTCTAGTCTATGTTGATGAGATTTTGATTGCAGGTACTGACCCTTTACAGATTGATCATTACAAATCTGTTCTCTCCAGACACTTCAAAACTAAGGATTTAGGCCCTCTTAAATATTTTCTTGGTCTTGAAGTGGTCCGCTCTTCTACTGGTATCTTCATCAACCAACGAAAGTATACTCTTGATATTCTATATGATGGTGGCTAGCTAGATGCTCGCCCCGCCTCCTTTCACATGGAACAAAATCTGAAGCTCACCACCAGTGATGGTGATCTTCTGCCGGACGTGAGGCCCTATCTTCGACTTGTCGGCCGTCTCATTTACCTCACCATCACCCGACCTGACATCTCCTTCGCAGTCAACATATCAGTCAATTTATGCATGCACCTAGAGCTTCTCATTTGACTGCTGCTCATCGGGTTCTTCGCTATCTCAAGGGCACTTCAGGTCATGGCATTTTCTTTGCAGCCTCCAGTGGTCTTCAGCTCACTGCCTACATAGATTCAGACTGGGCCAGTTGCCCAACCACTCGTCGTTCTACTACTGGCTACTTCATCCAACTCGGGACCAATCCCATTTCTTGGCGCACCAAGAAACAGACAATAGTAGCTCACTCCTCAGCTAAGGCCGAATATCGAGCCATAGCCGTAACCACATGTGAGCTTATCTGGCTCAAAACCTTACTTGCTGATCTCTGTATATCTCACTCGCTTGCTATTAATCTTTTTTGTAACAATCAATCAGCATTACGTATTGCTTGGAATACAGTATTTCACGAGCGGATCAAACACATAGAGATTGATTGCCACATTGTTCGTGGCAAGCTTCGCTCTGGTTTCCAGTAACTCTTTCATGTCTTCACAATTGATCAGATTGCAGATATCTTTACCAAGGCATTGGGACATGATTTGTTTCATCGCTTCTATCGCAAGTTGGGCATCACAGATCTTCATGCGCCAACTTGAGGGGGAGTATTGACATTTCCATCCAATTGCAAATCAACAGGGATTGCAACGTGCACTAAATCAGAATATTATACAATATCAGCATGGATCATAGTCTTGCACAAAATCAGCATGGATGTTTGTCAATTTTCCTTGTAAACCTTTATAGAAAAATTGCACAATGTTAGCATAGATTTTAGCCAAGTTTCTTTGTATAGCAATCTCATTGTACCTATTTATTGACTTCAAGAATGAATGAAACATACAGCAAAATTATCCATTTTCTTCTTTAACACACTCTTTGCTCTCTTTAAAGATCCATTGAGAGAGTTGAGATCCTCTTTAGGCCTCTTAATTTGTTTAGGATTATTGATTCTCTATTATATATAAAGACCCGATGAAGGAGTTGAGGTCCTCTTTAGGTACCTCATTAATTCATTAAGGTTTATTTTTTTGTTCTATTTAAAGACCCAATGAATGAGTCGAGGTTCTCTTTGGGTCTCTTTCCATTAATTCATTCAGAATATATGCTCTATTCTATTGAAAGACCCAGTGAATAAGTCATGGACCTATTCAGGCCATTCTCCATACACTAATTGAGAAATCATAAAAAGCCTCAATAGCCGAGCTATGCAAAGAAACTAAAGTAGACTTACCTTCATGTGCCTTGTGCAAGAAAAATCTCTTGGAGATTGAAAGAGTATCTCCTATCAAGGGCAACTTAGGGATTGAAATCCTACTAACACTTAACCGGCGAAAGAGCTAATCTTTATCTAAGTACCCAAAAGGGACTTACCACCTTTAGCTTGCTTGGACAAAAGTCTCGGATTTAAAGAATATCCCACATTAATGGTCTCAAATTGAAAAGTGTCTGAGGTCAAAATTCTTGAGGGTGAAAGAACATCTTATAAATGGCATTCAGGAGATTATTTCTTGTGAAAATATTATAGATTGAAAGAGCATCTTCAATCGAAATGGTCACACAATTATGCAATCATCTCTTCAGCATACGATGCATCGATACCAACATAAGCTCATTATTTTGCTTTAACCTATGTATAGTAAAATACTTTGGAAAAACAAAGAAATCTTGCAACTCTCAAAATCCAGATAATTCAAAATTTCAACTTTAGCACTAATAAAACGTTAAAATGCTTCATTTCACTTGAATATAAAACTCGAACTGTCGGGACTAATATTATATGCTGAAATAATTATAGTATATCTTGACTTCATGTTAGCCATAAAAGGACCTCATAACATGTCCACGTGTCTTTGCATATTCATACCTATGCTATCGGTGTAGAGTCGAGGTGTAAGGCACGTCGACTGCCAAAGCACCAAACACCTCACTAACAACACATTTTAAAGCATCGATCACTAAGTGTTCCAAAAGCCACAAATTAAGCCTCATATATGCACAAAAATATTAGTGTGAATTTTGACTCAATCGGCATAGATTCCGATGCAATAAACCCTGGTGTGCACATAATGAATTACTTAACAATTGTCACAAAAGTACAAACCTCAACAAAATCTTGAAATTCGGATTTGATCATGACTTCTAACATGATAAAGAAAGAATGTCAATTAATAAAAATGATTGAATGCCTCTAAAACCATATATGGGGTCATTTGCACAACTAAAAAAGTGTTTAAAATCTAAGATTGAAACTTTCACTTCCTAAAAAGCTGCCTTGATCAAGGCCCGCCCTCTCAAAAAATCTAACGTTATCCAATGAAGGAGCACTTTCCATCCTAAATACCATAGAATCTCACTCCCTTTCTTCTTTTTACACCATTTGTCTCCTAAACAAATCCAAACCCCCTCCCTCGCCAAATAAATAAATAAATAAATAAATAATGAAAAGGAAAATCTGTGCAGAAATTCCAGCAGAAACTTAACCGTTGGCATTAGAAAAATTCCCATGTTTTGAGACCAATGCACATGTTATTGGAAAGTTTGATATACTATCTGTGTTGGAGAAGAGAGATATTTGATGATATTTGAAAAATATTTACTAATATTGGAGAAAATATTATGGGGTGATTTTGAGATATTTGGAGAATATTGGTTGATGATAATTGGAATATTTTCATAAATTGTTATCATGTTTCCTTGATTGTCTCGTCCATA